GTCGAGATTATACTTTTCACTGTCATAATTCGAGTCCCGCTACGGGTGTTGATGAAACCCAGGCGAGGTCACTACTGGAGTCAACTCTGGATGAAAATACATTTGTAAAGCAAGACAATGTGAAATTCAATGAAAATGCGAGGTATACTCATATTTTTGTTTGAAAATTCAATCACATGTCCCCTTATCAAAAATGAAATAGAGGAAGGTATCTTGTTCTAGAACGTGGAAATCTTCCATGAATAGACTTTTAATGGCTATATCTAAAAACAGAGGAAGTAAATGGAGTATTTTTCGTAAATAAGCAGAGTTTCGAGACTACCAGTAAATCAGTTATATGAGATGTATTCGCCATATTTCGTTTAAGGTTATGAAGGACGGGTAGCAGAATTGTCCAATAAATGATATGAGTAGACCTGACGTTTCCATCGAATTTCACATAGCCTTACTTTCCCAAAAGTTTTTCTCATCTAGGATGGACTGTGATTTCTGCCTACCAGTCTTTCATCACCTTAAACGAAATAAGGTGAATACATCTCATATAACTTATTTACTGGTAGTCTCGAAACTCTGCTTATATATAAAAAATATGTAATGTAGTCGATTGGTATAGCAAAAATTGGTTTGCTTCATCGACAATACCATAAAAAAATGTAATATGGGAAAAGGTCTGGCCTTCCTTGAAATTCAAATCTGCTCTGTGACCCAAAGCACTTTTGGTAATATAGCTGAGTTACTACGTTTCAAGATCACATGCTATACTCACTATGGTAAAATTCTACTACCAATCTTTCATCACCGTAAACGAAATATGGTGAATAAATCTCATATAACATAAATCTTTATTGATCCTGCAAAGATGGTTATTCTACATCCATCTAATACATTATTCTTTTATTCTGGTCGCACTTTCGTGTCGCTCAATGGCCATGTGTTTGTCAGTTAGGTAGTGTAAATATGCTTTACTTATGTATGTCTATAGGTATTGATATCCAGAAAAAGCCATTAGTAAACTCTTCTTCCCCAAGGTACGAAGACCAAGATTGTGTGGCGTTTTGTGTGGTCGCAGTCTCCTTGTCCTTGTTTTCGCAAATTGGCCATATTGAAGTTGTTTGACCTTGTTTTCACAACTCGGTCATAGTGGATGGAAGACTTAGAGGAACTCACCTAATCCGAATTCTATTGTATACATGATCATTTCAAGAGTACGGACGTGGACGTGGTACATTCCCAGACGTTTCGCCGGCATCGTAGTCGGCATCGTCAGTGAGTATCGCCAATCTTAGCACCATACAACAACTCATCACAGAGACAAGTAAGCCTATCCTTTGGCCAAACATGGGCTAAATAGTTGTGTTATATCCCTTTCTGCCCTGGGCTATTAACATTTCCTTCACTGCCACAATTTTTTACCGTGCCTATTTCGGCGTAGTGTGGTGTGCTCCTTTGAGCGGCATTGATGAAAACCCTTCACAATCCACACTGTCGTTCTCCCCCCCTTCACCCTTGTGCTGGGAATGTGGATCAGAGTCTGTCATATTGTTACGCAGTCTTCCTTCCATACGTCTTGTCACAGTCTCTCTCTTACCCCATATGATCCGTCTGCTTTCTCCCTGTTTCACATATTTCACCCGACCCCTGCCACCCCACCTGTGCCACTCAAGGCGTTATTCGCCCTACCCTGTGTCTGGGTGACTAATTCGAGGCTAATACCTCTGAATAAGTCTCATGGTCGCATGGACCACGTCTCTTATAAAACCTACTGTCAACCAACTAGCTCCAATCGCCGCCGTGTCTATCCTGTTTTTATTCCAAATACCAAGTCTATGGCTTGCTATGTCCTAGTCTCTTGTGTGCCAAAACACAAATTTTGTGGTACTGCTTGCTTTGATTAGGCTCAATGTTGAACCACAACGTTTGTGGGTTGGTTGACAGTAGGTTATATAAGAGACGTGGTCCATGTGGCAAAGGCGTGACCATGAGACTTACTCAGAGGCTTTAGTCTCGAATAAGTCACCCACACACAGGGGAGGGCGAATAACGCCTCGAGTGGGACAGATGGGGTGGCAGAGGTCGAGTGAAATATGTGAACCAGGGAGAAGGCAGACGGATCATACGGCTCAAGAGAGAGACTGTGCTTAACAATATGGCAGACTCTGATCCACATTCCCAGCATAAGGGTGAAGGGGGTGAGTACGACAGCGTGGAGTATGAAGGGTTTTCATGAATGCCGCCCAAAGGAGCACACCACACTACATCTAAATAGGCACGGTAAAAATGGTGACAGTGAAGGCGTGATAGGAGGATATAGGAAATGTGAATAGCCCGTGGCAGAAGGGGAGATACCACAATTGTTTAGCCTACGTTTGGTCAATGGATAGGCTTATTTGTCTCTGACGCGTTGTATGGTGCTAAGACTGGCCATACTCACTGACGATCCCGGCGAAACGTCTAAGAATGTACCACGTCCACTGTCTTACTCTGGAAATGATTAAGCATACAATATAGTCCAGACTAGGTGCGCTCCTCTAAGTCTTCCTACCAATATGACAAAGTTGCGAAAAAAGGTAAAACAACTCCTTCCCCAAGTTTAAAGAATACTGGAAAACCATTTTATCTGCATCTTCCTCAGCACTATAGGAGCTCTCTCTCGTAAACTAAGAAAAATGCTCCTAATTAGTTGCCTTATTAACCATAAGCTATCCTGGCAGCACCATCCATTCTTACATATCTCTTTTTTATATTTAGTGTTTTGCTTACCCTTATAAGTAATCTTAAGTTAGGTTACATCTTAACTTTTATTATTTTGCTTCTCTATTATTATTAGAAGGCACTAAAATTTAGTAACTGTTTAAACTTTCATTAATAAAATGAGAGGAATGGTCAGAGGAAAAATCAAGGTTTCTGCACTATTAGTTTGGTTTATTATTGATTATTGTGCGTTTACACACGTGACTAGTCAGTATATCAAATGCAGTATATGTGGAAAGTCAACTGCATCCGTATTCAATCCAGTTATTCAAGTATGAGTACCGGCAAAAGGTTTTATATCTTCATTTGAGTTCATTTATGACTATGGAATTTGCCTTTATGTCTTGAGCCAAATAAAGTATTTTCAGACCAGCTTTTTTCTTAGTATATATGATTGATACTTTTGAGTGACGGTTAATTATTGGCCGATTATTGATTCAAGCTCCGACACATCGTCTTCCCATTATGTAAACTTGGATATTCTAGAGAAAAACAACTCACTATCCAAAAAGTGCATTTGTTAAGGTGTTTAATGAAGTCTAACCCGAGTTTATACAGCCCATTCAAGGCGATTCTAACCCATTGTATTAAATAGGACAGATAGGACTTTTGAGGCTGATTAAATTTTTATAAAGAATACTTATTTACGTAGGAAATACTATTAATATTTGTCGTTTATTATTCTTTGCACCTTAATAATATTTTGTTATTTTTTCCAGAATATGCGAGTCAGTAAGGCTCAGGACCTATACATCATATATACTTTATTAAAACATTATTCAGAGAGCTCATCTAAACTAGTTGCATTTGCTCTGTCCAAAAGGGCTAGCATACTTCAGGGTTTTGCACACACTTCTTTCTTCTTGCATATGATCTTGCCTTAGTTTCATTAAGTAATATGCTTCTTAACCAACAATGCCTCCATCATGTACCCACATGTCCTGTCAGCGAATTACACTTCGCCTGGTTGGTCAGCTTATCGAGGAACTAATCGGCAGTGGCTATCAGCACCCTTACTGTGTCAAGTCTGAGTCTCTTTACCAGGGCTCATCCATCAACTTGGTGGCGTCCTCTATTCCAGCAATTCTTGCCTCTGGAAGTGGCACTGCTCTTCATGCTGGTTTCAATTATGGGGCTCTAAAATCCGTCAGTTAATATACTTGCCCATTGTTACATTATCTTATCCCATTGTCTTTAAATTCACCATAATCCATTTTATCGAATATGTCTCTTGCCTATGAGAATCATGCTCATTTGAGTCAAACCATTTTCCTGACATTGAATTGGATTATCCTCTTTGGTGCCAACTGTCAAGTTAGATCTCTTCTAAGGACTTAAATTCTTTCTTCTATCATAAACAGCTCCTCAATTGATTCGAACTTTCTGGTTCAGTTCATCTTTGGCTTAGGTATACATCCTTTTGAGACATACAATGTCCGGATTTTTCCTCATATTTTCCTATTCTTAAGTTCTAAGTCAATTGGAGCGGAAAGGAAGACGGGCAGACTTATTAATACCAATAAGGATTATGTTAGCTAATCGCATCATCATAAGTTGTTGTCTATACACGAGGGAAACTAATGCATTGCAGTTAGAATCTAGGCTTGTGCAAACGTGCTGTTGTTAGTGCTGGCTGGACCTAGTTTACGCAACTTGGTCTGGGCAATAGGGAAACCTTCTATAACGTACTTAGTCCTGTGCCTTCTGCCACAATATTCATGATTTCCACAATCGGACCGTTTACTTGATATATTACCAGACGTTTCTTGACACCGTAGCCAGCAGTCTGTGAGAGGCGCCATCGTTATCAGGATTACAACCTATCAAAGTAACAAGTGAAGGCAATCCCCTTCACAAATTTCCTCTTCAATCGTTGTGACATCATTCCTCGCTCCTAGTCTTTAGTCTACCTTCTAGAGTTGCATCTCTTTCTCTCAACCCCACTTTGAATGGCCGATTTACCCATTAATACTATCCTGTGTTCTTGTTCCCTCCAATTTCGCATAAGAATGTTTTGCTTCAAGTGGATTTAGTAAAGCATAATTACCTTCACTACCAGTTTCAACTGCTATTTGCAGGGCTTTTTGGTCATGGCTTTTAAATTTCTCCATTCCACTTATCTGTTGTTCTTCGTTACACATGAAGATTACTGTCTACCTGTCTGAAATATGGCTGCCTACGAGCCTTCAATTCCTGTCTCCGTTTATGCCATATTCGAGGATTTAAGACAGGTGATTCTCATTCCTAGGCCTTTTCCTCTCCATTGGGATTCAGATCCATCACGAATCTCTCCTCTTTCTTATCCCCACTT